TCACAGAATACCAGCGTGAACGCTGTGTTTCGTGTGACAAGTGTAGACAACCGGAAACCCTTTTTACTGGAAACGAGGCATTTCTTTGTTCTCAGGGGTGACAACGCATCTTGATTCACTATTGAGGATAAATGTAAATCGTCTATTACGAGGGCGATACTGAAAGTTTTTAGAACTGGCCACTTGTAAACGATATAATAAAAAAATAAGTTCAAATTTTGAAAATGGAACTCTTTGACAATACTATTGTGTATGTATTTTATTAATTTGTCATTTGTTTACGATTTGGCGGCAAATTGAAAATTGTATCACGTCAGCGTGAATTTAACGCGAGAAAATTTTCGTACAATGATTTTTTATGACTTTCGATGTCATTTAAGTCAACAAGAAAGTTATGATAGAGTTCGATTGGCCTTTCACGATGAAGCCCCATCTTGTGCCACTGTTTACAACTGTTTTAAAGAGTTTAAACGTGGTCGCATTAATCTCACGCATGATCTGCGTGAGGGACGGTCTTCTGCGACGACGACTGAAGATACGTCAGTGTTGTGCGGCGTATGATAGAGACTGACAAAAGAGTGACTTATCAGCAGATTCGGACAAGCTAAGACATCTGTATAAGTCAAGTGCACAAAATCCTCCATGAACATTTAGCGGTCAGAAAGCTTTGTACCCGGTAGATACCTTATATAATTTGACAGAGCCCCAAAAACTCTGTCGTGTTGATTGGTGTCGTGAAATGGTTCAAAGATTTAACGAAGGTGACTCAAATGCAGTGTTCGACATACTTACCGGAGACGAAAGCTGGATTTACTGTTATGATCCTGAAACTAAGAGACAGTCTGCTGTCTGAATGTTTCCTTCCGAGGAGTTGTCAACTAAAGTGAAGAGAAGCCAAAGTGTGGGGAAAAGATGGTGGCCTCGTTCTTCGGAAGGACATGTTGTTAGGCAACAATTGTTTTAAAGAATCGAAAAACAGTTACTGCAGGTGGTACATTAACAAATGTTTGCCACTTGTCTTGGGAAAAGTCCGGGAGAAACGACCTCGCAGCAGGATCCTCCTTCACCACGACATCGCCTCGTCGCACACCGCCAGCAACAATCGACTACTTGACGAAGTCAGACGTGGAATTACTGGGTCATCCCCCCGCCCCCCGCCTCTATAGCCTCGATCTCGCATCTTGCGATTTTTATTTATTTCCGAAAATAAAGGAAAAACTTGAGGAAATCGTTTTATGGACGCCGAGGAAGCAGTGGCTGCGTTTCAAAATGCCGTCATATTAGAACGAGTGGGCAAAGTGCTTTCCTCACTCTTCTTTGACACTAATTTGAATAGATAGACGATAGACTAAGTATATTTATGAATTTGAAAAGATAGATAGACCTACTATCAAGTGGACTTTGTGCTCATTTATCAACCTCACTTCTATTACTAAAAATCTAATATATAAATCTAATATTTGTTTCTTCGTATTTTATGCGCTGCCATGCCGTACATCAGATTGCGATAAAACTCTGTCAAGATATTGCTTACACTGCCGTGAACGTTAGTGGCATAGTTGGACCCGGTAGGTGGCGCTGTTGTAAAATCCACATATCACCCGAGCGAAGCCGGTGCAGATAGCTAGTATATATATAGTATATATTTTGTTTTATACAAATTATAAAAACATGGCCAAGGACCTTAAACTCGACTGTTTTACTTTTTCCCAATATACTGTTACTAGTAGATATAAAATGAAAACGAAAAATGCATAGTGGCTTCCTATATGTAAATGGCAATAGTTGCACCATCGACAGTAAATAAACTTGTTTTTAACTGACTTGAGAAATTAGCGCTCTGCCAGTTTAGATATGTGTGGTAATCGAGAATTTTGCGAGACTAACTAAATAAGTAAATAAAAGTATTAGACACATTTTGTTATAGCTTACTGTTGACGTGTATTGAATTACTAGGTGCTTCTATTTTTCATAAGATTTCGTCTGTCTAATCCATAAACCACTCTAATAAGTACTAATTTCTTATGCCAAAGAGCAGTACAGTTACTGCGGTTTTCTAATTTGAAGGATAAAGAGAGTTTTACCACTGTTGATACAAGTAATAGGGTATCACACCGATTTTCAAATAGTGTTTAAAAATAATGCTTGAGTGATAATGAACCACAACAATTTTTTTTAAACTAAATAGTGTTATAAAAATTACCTTTAATATATCGTCTTACTGACAGCGCGCGACATGTTATACTCCCGTTCGCTCGGGACCGTAATGGCGGGAAAATTTGCAAATTAGCAAATTTTTTGCTATATTGCAAATTTTGCTATATTTTCACTTTGAGACAATATTTATGGATAAAACTTACAGGAATTCTTGTTGAATGTATAAACTATCGAATAAAATTATTTTTGGTTGCTAGAAATTGTAATAAAATACGTAAATTACCCTGTATAGCATAGTAGTGGTATATACTTCAATTTTAGTGACAAAATTACTACTAATTTGAATTCTACACTTTTGTTTTTAGAGAAATTTATATGAAAATGTTTGGAAACATGTATATTTTTATGTTTTATGTGTTTCCATTCGTTACTCATACCAAAATATTAAAATATTAAAAAATTAAAAAAAAATAATAATAATATTTTATCTGTATGACATTTCGAACAATATTTCAAACATATTTTTGTGTGAATTTGAAATAAATACGTCAAGTTATTTGAAATATGTAAGAAAACTATTTTTACTTACATTTTACACTAAAAATAAATGAGAATTTGGAAAATAACACATTTATGACCCAACGGCCAAAATGGAGCTTCCGGATTTTGAAGTACTTTTGGCAATTTACTTTTCACTTTTTATACCACAAATTATATATCTACGTGTTTACTATATTACAAGGAATATAAAAAAGTATAATACTTTCGTTTTTAGTCCAGACACAAATATAAAATGCTATAAAAAAAGACGGAGCACCTTCATCAAAACGACACGTGGAACGCCGAAAGTTCAGAGTGATTTCTTTTTTTTTTCTAAGAAACATTGCCAGGTTATGGTTTAAAATAAAAGAGCATATCTTTGTCTTTGATACTATTATCTATTGCATAGTGTCTTTGGTTTTGTTTAAAACGAAAAAATAGTTTTTTCATAGGTACACACGTTTACATAATTCTGATCAAATTAGCTCACTACTTGGCGGACGTAAGGTAGGTATTGTACGATCAAAAGTGCGCATGGCTTGGTTTACAGCCAAAACGCTAGCCGCCACGCTGTTAAGCTCGTACCGTCACTGTCCTAGGATTTTGCCGATATTGCAAAGGAATAAGATATTTTTGAATGTTTAATAATAAGTTATCATCTTTATCACTGGTGTGTCATGTCTGAATGGAAAAATACGAACATAAGAACGCCGGGGAAGTTATGGATTCAAGTGCCAACTGATTTAAATATGAGAAATATTTGGTTAAAACTAGCAAGAAGATACCCGAATACATTGTCTAAAAAAACTAGACTACACTTCTGTGAAGATCATTTTGATGTAAGTATGACTTATATGTAACTATCGTTTATAAAAACATATCATGAGGTGATAGGTATTGCAAGTCAAATTTTGTAGTAGATTAAGTTATCTTTGATATTTTAAATTATGATTGCTGATGATTGTAATCATCGATAAACATAACGATGTATTATCAAAATACACTCTGACCTTGCATTGTGTTATAGTATTAACAAAAGTTGGTAATAGGTTCTTACGTTGAGTTTTTAACATTCTCTAACTAGGCAGAACAAAAATCGGGATTGCATGCAAAAATTTTGCCACCATCCATGTATTTATCCTTGGTAGATTAGTACTTTTCAATAAAATTCGGAATAAAACACAACAATCGTAATGATAACTTAAAATATTTCGAAATAACATACAGCAAATTAGCTATAGTATTCTTAACCAGTGACGTCACGACGGATTCTAATATGGTGAATAGCGTTTTGGAGATTTGAGGTACAGATAAAAAAATACTCTTAAAATTTAATTATAAAAGTTTATAATACATTTTTATGAATAGAAGTCAATATTTCTCATTTACTTTTTACAAAACCTATCATAAATGTATATATTTTTTATATGGTATAAAAACCCTAATCGAATAATTAAAAAAAGGACACATTGCAGACTACTTTGTAGCTTGATGTTTCGAAAATTATACCTTAATGCTATAAAATAGATTATGGAATAATATCTTTATTTGAAAATATCTTCTACTCTACACTAGTCGCTCTAGTTTCTTTTACACCCGTTTTTCAGTTGTTCTACATAAAGGAAGTAGGTACAAACAAAATATCTAGGTATTTATTTTATTTTTCTTATCTTAAAATTGAGATTCAAACAACATGATGAATTAATAACGCCTATGGATGTTAGGTTTGGCTGTATCAATTTTCGTTTATTTTTAACAAATCGGGATTTTGAGTTTTACCACGGAATAAATATGGTTTTACTTAAAATGTTCAAAATATGGTTACTCGCTTGAGTTTTATAAAAATTATTTTTTCTTATTTTGGTTTTATTTTATTTTATTAACCATGTTTATTTTAGTACGTCAATTTTGGTAATTTCATTTAAAACAGACGAAGGTGGAAGCTCGGTAGTTTTATCATATCCTCATAATTTATTAACTTTAAAAAGAAATGTTCTCATGTCGGATTTCGTAATATTATTTATTTCCTAGATAAAGAAAATTGAGTATGTATATATATAAATATATATATATATATATATGTTGCCAGTAAATAATACTACACCTATAATAATAAAATGGACTCTTATTTTTTTTAAATAACTAATTTAACATTATCAGAACTAAGCTAAGCAGTACCTAAAGGTATCTATATTAATTTATAATGCTGCATTTTAGAAATGTCATAAAGCAAACATTTGCCTAAATTATCGCGTAATGGATTACGGATATTCACATATCAAAGAAAAAACAAAAGTCCTTACCTTGCAGTAACTTGATATTTTCGTCAACTTCTGGCAACAAATGCAAGAATGTTGTAGCAAATAACACTCCTCCACCAAAGGCCAGTAGCCCGATTACCAGTTGATTTGATGATCGCATATTTGAACCGGCTGAATTAGCAAACCAGTTAAATTTCATCGAAATTAGTATTGGTACGCATCCGACAACCATGGACACGCTAAACAGCGTAACCATAGTGATGATCTTGGCCCTGAGAGCTTCTTCGGGGATTGAGTTGTCTGATTTTTCAATATCCATTGCGAAGAATAATTTCGTGTCGGTTTGCTACAATTGTTTCCGTTTTAGTGGAGACGTATCTCACACGCGCCTGTAACTCTACTGAGACATCACCGCGCCAGTCGCTAGTAACCAGTACCGGTAAAGATGGCGGGCTCTCGATAATGACTTTATTAATGATAAAATGACGGCGACTGTTTGCCAACCGTCGTCGTCTCAATTAGGCATTGCGGTTCCTCCGTCTGGAAGGAGCAAACGCACGCCCGCAATAACGCGGTGTCGCCTGAACTGTTCGAAGCACGTGCATATTATATCTGTTTATTTAAAATTCACTCAAGTATATCATTTTAGTTTACACGATATTATTTGTCAAGCAACAATACTACTTTCACCGACTTCTAAAAGGGGGAGGTATTCAATTCGTTTTTGTGTTTTTTATGTGTGTTACTTCAGAACTTTTTTCTGGGGGAACTGATGTTGATGATTCTTTTTTTATTTGAAAGCTCATGCTTCTCGTGTGGTCCAATTAGATCAAGATCTGACTAGTAGTTTTTGAGTTATCCTTAAATAATTCATATCTAATTGACTTCGAATGGATTGATTCAGTCGTATTGATGTCACCACTTCGTCGCTCACGTTACATACGTAGGTATCTTATTTTTTATAATTTACAAAAGAGCCCGATAGCGTTTTTATTTGATCGATTGGTGAACATTTTCTGTTTTACTTTGATTATAAAGCCACCGAGGCAAATCAAACTGTGTGATTATGTCACATAGTTGGGGTGTTAATATAATATCACATTAATAATACAAATATATATGTATTTGTAAGGCCCCATTCTAAAATATAGAAACAAGGCTGTAGTAACATACGTAGCACGAATGAGTCGGCTCGACCGGAGAAGGATTACGCTCTCACAGAATACCAGCTTAAAATAGTAGCTTAATATTGCTTTCGTATGGTGAGTGTAGAGATCCGGAGACTCTCTTTTACTGGAGACGAGGCATTCCATCTTAGTCCTCAGGGGTGACAACGCATCTACGTTTTGATTCTTAATCGAGGATAAATGTGAATGTCTATGGGCCATAGCATCCACTTACCATCAGGTGGACTGTATGCTCGTTTGTCACCCTCATTCTATATATAAAAAAAAACAATCTCGAGAAGATATATTGTAGATAGTATATAAAACTTCTAAACCGATAGACGTCTTTTATAGAAAACTGCTCCCCCTTTGGAATTTGACAAATAGATAACTGTTGAAGATCGAAAGATGCACAAACATTTTGTTATCTTCCAAGGCACTTTCTTGTTTTCTTCTTTCAATTTCTAACCGTTTCCTTTTCTAAGATATGAGCAATATTATTCTTTCGTTATTTATCTTTTGTTTCTGTACTACCTTCTTTAAATGCAGTGCAAAGCCTGCACTGATCCTTTTTTGGCCTATGAAAAGACAGGTTCATAGATTTGAAGATTGTTAATCTAGGCACAAGAGGATTATCAGATCTATCATTTAACTTCGCAAGTAAAATACGGTGCATCTTTTTGATGCACAAATGAGCGGAGGCCTGTGCCCAGGAGTGGGACGTATATAGGCTGTAACTTTAACTTTATAAAATTTTACGGAACCATAGAGAAAGGTAAACAGTTGTATATGATAAGCTAACTCTGGGATCTATTTAGTTTATGTTTCAGTGTAATTTAATTGTATTTTAGTTCTTCAGATAGATTATTCATAACTGCAACTTGCCTATGCAACTGAATATTTAAATAGGTAAGTGTTTACCTAAATGGTATTTTTTTAAATATTCGGTCAGTAAGAAAACTCAGCTGAAATGTTATTTTGACAGCATAATATGTCTTTGTCGGTCGTAAAAAAACCGCAAGCAATACCTGATCAGGAACTAAGTCAAGGATTATCAGAAAATAAGTAGATATTCTCGTTAAAGTCTATCACGCAGAGAAACTCCGAGCATAGCCCTCTCCATAGCTCGCTGAGCGATTTTGAGCTTTCTCATGCGGCCATGCATGCATACCAAACTGGTAAAACAGAGTAACCAACATAGCCCAACAGATTAGTAAGCTGAAGTGGCAATGGGCCAGCCATATAGCTCGAAGAACCGATAACCGATGGGGAAGAAAGGTTCTCTAACGGCAGCTTCGTACCGGCAAGCAAAGTATAGTAAAGTACAAATTTCTTTTATTTTCGTGGTAAAACATCCCTTATAATGTTTTTATGCATTCCTGGTAATAGAAATAGCTTATTTTTATTATTTCAAACATTAATCATTCATAAAACCCTTAATTTACACCTTTAATAAATAAAAATAGTGGAGCGGTCTTCCTACGGTATAGCTCCGTAGTAGCTAAGCTTTTTTCCGCATAACATACACGCGCACATAACCCTCCTACGCGGGCCCCGTCTTTGCCCACGCAAACCCTAATATTATTAATGAACTCCAAATAGTTCAAAACCTTTTCTGTCGTCGAGCTGCGAACGCACCTTGGTACGTCCGTAATGCCGACCTTCATCGGGACCTAGAGCTCCCAACAATTCAACAATTTCTTAAAAAACTCTCTGAGAACTTCTTCAAAGCCTCAGAGTCGCACCCAAACCAATTAATTCGTGAGGCAGCTACTTATGCAGCCCCACCCCCCTCTCGCTATCGAGTCCGCAGGCCGAGAAACTCTCTCTCGGACCCGCCTAATAAACTGACAAACGACCTAAACTGCCGCCTGGCGGCTCAGGCCAACTCTAATTAAATTAAATTATTGTATTAACTAATATTAATTTGCCTTCGTAGGCACTCCCTCAGCGGCTCGTAGCCGCCTGCGCCCTCTTTTCCCAAAAGAGGGTCGCTCACGATAAGGCACAATACAGCTTAATGAGCCGGCTGCCTGTCCCCAAAGGCGGTTTTTAGAGGGTATCACTTAGGGTCCCCGGTAGGAAGTGAGTCCGTCATAACCACGATAGACCGGCTATCGTGGTATGCGTAATGCATTTTCCGCCTCCCCTACGTATAGGGTAGCCCTTTAATTGCTTCGGGCGCAAAAAAAAAAAAAACATACACGTAGCGCCGCCAGGCGGCAGGAATGCACAATGCTTATCGTGATAACAACATTGTTGCGCTTAATCCATCATCAGCATCCCCCCACTAGATCGAGTGACGACCTGGTAAGACGTGCAGGTCAATGGATGCAGATGGCTCGGGACCGTGCTTTGTGGCGTTCCTTGGGGTAGGGCTATGTTCAGCAGTGAACTTGTGAAGGGCTGCAATGATAATAGAATAATATAAGTAATGATGATAATGATGATGAAGTAGAAATTAGTTCCAGCTTGATAATTAATATGATTGCAAAATAAATATTTGTGATACAAAATTATTTGGGAGGGGGGCTTAGTAGCCGTGGCTCGGTCACCCACGGTGAACAAAGAGGAACTCACATGGCACGCTCGTGGTGAAGGAGGTTGTCATTCCGTGTGAGTTTGGCAAGCCCTCTTCGGATGAGCTTCGGTGAGAGGGGTGTCCCCTCCCCCTACCGCCGCTGCCGAGGTGGGGTCGTGGAGAAAGAGAACTGTTGGTACTAGGAGGCGCCACTCCTATCCTCCGCAACCAAATCATTATTAGCAGCGGAGCCATAGACCGGATCCACCACTGTGGTCGGAAGGCTGGTGCTTTTGAGTGCTCATTTTTTATGGCTCCGTGGCCTTCGCGCATCGTACACGGGGTCGTCTGTTGCGGAGGAAAACGCGCCATATGTTATTTCCTTTCCTAAGATGGAAAAGAGGAAGGAAAAGTCCTTCTCCGAGGAGGAACTGCCATGAGGTGGCCAGCGCTGGTGGGGCAGCGAATTGTGTGAAAACGTTCCGGTGGCCTTGCCAAAATGCCACGAAGGTCTGGTTTTAGTCGGTGCGAGTCCAGCATAACCGATTCTTGCCCGCGCTTGGCGTATATGTGTAGCCATTTCCCAATGTATAATGACGTAATAAATGATTTTACAATAGCTCAATGCGGCAAAAAATTGCGCACTTTTGTTGATGTAGAAGTAAAATTAATTAGTCAAATCGAAATTAATATTTAGTTTGCTAATATTTAATTACATCCGAAACAAAATTCGCTATTCCATTACTGATATTGCTGCAGATATATTTAATTTGCTTTGACGTTAATTTTAAGGCTACTTAATATCACATTAAATTGCTTTTCAATTTAGTTATTTTTGCCGACCACTAGAAGCGGCTCAATTCACTTTGTTTGCTGACAAAATACATTGGAGCTCACCAATACCTTTTTAATTAGCTGACCGTTTAAATGATACCTAATGATAATATAATGAGCCTAAAAATTGTAATAACCCAAAGTAAATAAGTAAAGTTGCAGCCTTCCATAAAGTGGAGGCTGTTCAGTCTGCTAGGAACAGGCTTACTCTCATTTCTAAGAAGGATTAATAAACCAAACAGTTTTTTTTTTTATAGGATAGGGTGACAAACGAGCACACAGTCCACCTGATGGTAAGTGGTTGCTGCGACCCATAGACATCTACATCTATCTTCCATTACAAATCAAAATGCATTTGCGTTGTCACCCGTGAGGACTGAGATGGAATGCCTCATTTCCAGTAAAAAGGGTCTCCGGTTCTCTACACTCACCATACGAAATACAGCAGCATTAAGCTGCTATTTCACGCTGGTATTCTGTGAGAGCGTGGTCCTCCCCCGGTCGAGCCGACCCATTCGTGCTACAACTATACTACTAATATAATTGCAGCATGGCTCTACCACGTAAAAGAACAATTGATGTTCCGAACAATGATTGTGTTTTGACGAAGCAGCGAGCGTATTTAGGCCTATTGCATAATTAATGATATGATCATTTTATTATAGATAGTAGGAAGACATTAGACAGGACGATACTAAGACGGTTTTACTGTATCTCATATCTCTACTTTTATGCATCATAGAAATGACACCTTAGATAATAAATGTGGATAATTCTTGTTTAGTTTACTTACTGTAA